TAGGTAGATTTCTGTGTGTTCAGGGATACAGCCAGCATTGGAGACATACGCCTTTAAGACCTGGAGGGCGGTACTTACAGGCAGTGACGAGGCAGTCATGTGTTTGGGTTTACAACCAATGACAAGGCAGAACAGAAAGACTATTTAAAGGCAGACACACAGGAAGTAGCTCTCTTGGGGAAGCTAGGAGCACTGCAGGAGGTAAGATTTTAGCTCTGCACTCTGACCTCTCGGCTTTCTCTTTTACATTGGTTCTGTGTTTCTTATTTTAATAAGACAGTTGGTTACATCTACAAATGCATCCAAAGTTTTAAGGAGATTGCAAGAACTGGTGGTAACATGGGCATAGCTTACCTCTTTGTTCTCATAGCTTTCCACAGCAAAATCATTTTTAACCACAACATATCTGTCCTTCCATTTCCTGATGTCTTCAGCAAACTGGGAGAGCTCAGCTTCATACAAAACAGTTCCTGGTTCCAATGGGGGCTGAAAGAAGATGAATACAATTAATTGTCACAAGAGATAATATACCTTACTAACACTACATTATTCATGATATCAGGGAATAATTTAGGAAATTATGGTGTGCAGTGATCCTGAGGAAATTGTTGCTTTCTTTTAGATATCACAAATCCCCCCTTCCCATTCCTTCAAAGAAAATGCAGACACTTGTTACATGGACTTTTTCTGAATTTTATTTCCCTCTATATGGATTAGGAATGAGAGTATATGGTAGAAAGACTATCCTTTGCATGCATGTGGCACTTAATACATGCTTGATAAACTGTAGGTAAGAATGAGTGAGGCAGTGCAATGAGTTCCCATACAGCTGTCTACTGTAACTCACTGACATGCCTCAAGGTTACTTCCAGAATCGGACAGCTGTTTTCCTATTGTCCTAGCTTCCTTTCTGTTATGATGAAATTACCTTGACTTCCTAAAACAACTTTGAGAATAAAAAGGTTGTTTGTCTCACAATTCCAGGCCATGGTTCATCATTTCAGGGAATTCAAGATGGTAACTCAAGCAGCTAGTTACATCAAATCCAGTCAAGAGCAAAGAGAATAAGTACATGGATTCTTGCTTGCTCGTTTGCTTGCTTGCCTGACTGATTAATTGCTCTCTTGCATTGCTCAATGCTGCTGCCCACAATGGGAGGCTTGGTCTTCTCATATCAATCAACAACTAAGACAATCTCCCAGAACCATAATGTAGTGGTTTGAATGAGAACGACCCCCATAGGCTCATATGTTTGAATACTTGGTCCCAGATTGGTGGAACTGCTTTGGAAGGATTAGAAGGTATGACCTTGTTGGAGGAAGCATGTGGCATTTAAGTGTGTTGGAGGGGAGGCGAGCTTTGAGGTTTCAAAAGACTTGCACCATTCCAAGTCTCTCTCATTCTCTGCCCATGGCTGTATCTCAAGATTTGAGCTCTCAGCTACTGCTCTAAAGCCATGCCTACCTGCCTGCTGCTATTCTGCCTGCTATGATGGTCATGGACTCTAGCCCTGTGGAACTGTGAAACCCAAACAAACTTCTATAATTTGCTTTGGTCATGGTGTGTTATTGCAATAATAGGAAAGTACCCAAGACACATGTCCACAGGCCAACTTGATGCAGATAATTTCTCATTAAGTGTCTCTTTCCCAAGTGATTCTAATATATTAAACTGACGGTTCTGCCAGCGGTGGTGGCGCACGCCTTTAATCCCAGTACTTGGGAGGCAGAGGTGGGTGGATCTCTGTGAGTTCCAGGATAGCCAAGGGCTACATAGAGAGACCCTGACCCAAACAAATAATGAATGACAGTTCAGTCAAAGCAACCTTCTATACATCTCATCTTCTCCAAAAGCAGTGGTGACCTAGGCTAGGAACACTTTACCCATCTGCCTGCTTTTTAAGGAGTGCATGCTTGGTTGAAGAACAAGGCAAGCCAGCAGCAATCAGTTCTACCTCTTGTATTCATGAGTAGCTCTCATCAACCTTGATATATGTGCTGTTGAGGAGCTTCTGTTGGTCCTCATTAGGTCTTTATTGAGTTTTCCGTATAAGGAGAACACTCACCCTGCTTTGCTACACAATTTCCATGTTATTGTAAAATATAGGAATGTGCCCCTTGTCTTACCTGTCACTGGCGTTACATTGGTTTCTCCCTGCTAAACAAACATGCTGCCTTCAAAACTTATCACTATATTTTAAAGCAAGAAAATTATAGAATTCAGATGAAAGAGACAGGCCTCTTTCTTTTAAGACTCATCTAAGGGAGAAAATAAATTCCATTCCGAATTCCAGGGCTTAAAGACTGTCCTAACAGATAATGAAGCAGCCTCCTATCTCGCCTCATTAAAAGATAAAAAGAACTTTTAAATGAGGCTGAAAGCAACTTTACAGTCCTTCTCTGCAGCTTTTCTCAAACTTGGACCACTTAATCAAAACTAGACTTACTGTGTCTGAGTCTCTGGATTCAGGGAACAGAATTTGCATTGGTTTTGCTTAAGGTGGGAGTCTATTGCCCGGGCTGGTCCCCCTTTAAATTTATTTATGTATATAAGTGTTTCCCGTGTGTGTGTGGGGGTCTGGTGTGAGGGAGTCTGTGTATGTGCATATGCACCACGTGTGTGCTTAGCATCCACAAAGGACAGAAGAGCATCAGATCCTTGGGAACTTGGGCTCTGGAGTTGTGGATTTTGTGAGTCAGCATGTGGTGCTTAGAACCAAACCCACATCCTCTGAAAGAACAACAGCTGCTCTTAATTGCTGTGCATCTCCAGAACGTGCATCCTTAACATGCTCCCTAAATTCTGAGACTCTTTTGTGAGATCCGCATACCGTTAAATTCTCTGGTTAACTTCTCATCCTCTCAGCAGTCACTGGCCCATTCATCACTCATTCTCTTTTGACTCATTTCCCCTACTCCTCAGGGTGTTCCCTCTTAGTGTTTTTGTCTGGACTCTCTCCTCTTCAGGGTCTGCAAATGTTGCTAAGACTGGCACTTCTTCCCTCTGTCTCCATCCTTCCTCCATCATACCTCAGGATATTGCTCTTGGTTATAAACTAACAATCCCAGCCTCCAACTGTCTCCTGGGCTGCAGATCAGAACAACCAACCACCTGGTCAACATATCCACAATGCACGTAAAAATCACTGCCACCACCGCTGCCGCCATCACCATCACCATCATCACCACCACCACCATCATCTTCACCATCCTTGGGGCTAGAGAGCTGACTCAGTAGTTAAGAGTGCTTGCTGCTCTTGCAGAGGATCCAAATTCAGTTCCCAGCACCCACACCAGGTGGCTCACAACCACCTGTAACTCCAGCTCTAGGGAACCTAACACTATTTCTAGACTCCTTAAGGCATGCGCGCGCGCGCGCGCGCGCGCACACACACACACACACACACACACACACACACACTTAAAATTCTGTATCACTCACTCTATGTGGTAGTTTGAATAAAAATGGCCCCCATGGAGAATGTTACTATTATGAGGTGTGTCCTTCTTGGGGTAGGTACAGCCTTGTAGGAGGAAGTGTGTCTCAAACTTTTTTCTGCTGCCTGCAGATCAAGATGTAGAACTCTCAGCTCCTTCTCCAGCACCATGTCTGCCTGCATGCTGCCATGCTTCCCATAATGACGATAACGACGCAAATCTGAACTGTAAGCCAGCCCCAATTAAATGCTTTCCTTTATAAGAGTTGCTGTGGTCATGGTGTCTCTTCACGGCCACAGAAACCCTGACTAAAACACTCTATAAACAGTACCCTGTCCTGGGACTTCCCATCACACTTAATATCAAGCCCTTACATGGACCTACAGTCTCTGGTCCCTACAGGTCTCCATGCAGTCACTGCCCACCACTCTCCCTCACTCACAGAGCTCCCAGAGGCTGGTAATCTCAGGACTGAAGGTCTTCCCACTTCCTGCTCCCTCTTCTTAGGATGCTCTTTCCACAGCTATTTACTGTCTCTTCCTATTTCATCATCAGATGTAATGCCATCTCTACACAGGGCTTCCTTCCCAACCAACTTCCCCCAAAGGAGACTCTTGCTTCACTTTTCTTTGTAGCTTTTAGCATTACCTCACCATCACCTGCTATCAGTTTCTCCCATTGTTTATTGTCTGTCTCCTACATTGGAACAAACTCCAGGAAGGTAGGGAGTTTGTTTTGAAACACACATACCAGATCAAAGACAATTCAGAGGAAATCATGTTTGATCGTTGACCAAAACAAACCTAATCACGATTTTTTTTTTTTTAAAACTGAACTTCACAACAGCAAGCTAAATTTCCTGGTATCAAAACATCAATGAAAAAAAAATATAATGATATTTAAACCCTTCTAAGCTTTGTTTTCATATAGATCATACAATAATCAAGAAATCATATATATTCTCATGTCAAGGTAGTATTTTTTAATTAATTTAAGCATAAAATGACTTTTGTGTCATTTGAAAAACTGTAATTCGAATAATTGAAATATTAGCATCTCTATCCCTTTCTCCAGTGAGGGGAAGACACAAATCAAATGTCCTTGGATTACCTTGGTCTTCAGGAATTGTGACGTTAAATCTCTTTGCTGTTCCACCTCACTGCGCACATGATTACAGAAAGCCACGGAGTATTGGCGGCTGTAGTAGGGACTGAAGTTTTTGATAGAAGCCTCAGTTTTTCCTGGAAAAAATACAAAAATCAAAATTTTGAAATGTAGCATGCCTCACAGAACACACATCAAACTACTTTGAATTATACCCCAGCCACACACACACACACCCTGTCATCTCCCAAACACTGCTGTTGACTGGGGTACCAGGGTTTGTTACCAGCCTGTATTCCCTGGGAATGTTGCTACCTGCTGCTCCTGCTTTGAACCCTTTCTCGCCTTCTAGAATCACTCTGAAGAGCTCAGAGTCCCCAGGGACCATTCGGAAGTAAGAGAAGTCTTCTTCAGTGTACATTTTACTCTCTGCTATGACCGTAAGAGTAATCTATTTTGCTTCCTATCCAGGCTAGCTTGTTGTTTATTCTCCTACATGACAGTAATCCCAGAGTCTACCCATCCAAACTCTGTATACCCAACTCTCGTTTTTCTTCAGCACCTGAAAGTTGAGCCTCTAGTCTTTTGCCTCCACAGCCCTGGATGAAAACAACCCTGAGGTAGGAAAATGGCTCAGTTGGTCAAGGGCTGGTTATGCAAGCCAGAGACCTGAGTCTAGATCCCAACATCCATGTGAAAATCCTGGAGCTGGGGAGATGGAGACAGGGGGATCCAGGGACTTGCTGGCCAGGGGACAAGCTACATCAGTGAGATTCAGGTTCAGTGAGAGACCCTGACTCAAAAAACAAAGTGAGGAGTGACTGAGGACATCCCTTGTCATCAACCTCTGGTCCCCCCACACTTACTGTATGTGCACACACACAAAGAGGGAGGCTTGGGAGGGAGGAGGAGAGAGAGGGAGGGAGGGAGGGAGGGAGGGGGAGAGAGAGGGAGGAGGGGGAGAGAGAGACTTGTGCTCCTATTCTCCTAGTTTAGGAGACTTTTGTGATACAGTGTCATATGATTGCCATGAGGTAGAAGGAGGAGCTGATTTAAAAGTCTAGAGGCCTGGACTGTGAACCCCATTCTGACACTGTTAGAAATCACCATCTAACCTCAGCCAACCCCTCAGCTCTCCAGACCTACTGTCCCTGATACTGAAGGGAGGTAGACTTGGGTCCACATGGTTCTTTGAGTTCAGGTGACTCTGGGTAACTCTAAAGCATAATCCTGCAGGTACATCATCACACTAACCAGCAATGATACTTTGGTCTGTTGGTAACAGGGGTGAAATTTGCTGTCAACCATGTAGGACCTGGAGTTGGAGGAAACAGAACATTTCCAAGCCTTGCTTGGCATGGGGGAGTCCAGGAAAAGGAGGAGGGAAAAGCGTTCTGAACCAGATTAGAAAGCCTCTTGGCATCCGGTGCTTCTTTCCAAGTATCAAGATTGATTTCACCATCTATTCAGACAAGCAGTTACAACATGGAATAGGTAGGAGAAGAGCTTGAGGGAAAATAAACCAGAGATAACTTTTCCAAAATAGTTTTAAATACTTCACGGGAGGCTTGGCTTCACTTCTGTTTTTCAAGTCTGATATTTTAGCTGACAGATAAATATTAAAATATAACTTGCCGGCAAGATTTGCACAGAGGTATTATGCATGTAAAATTTCAGAAATAAATGAAGAATCTGAGTCATGTATATGGAGATGCTCAGTAGGAGAACCTTGAATCCCATAGGCGTCTGGTTGTATGCCTATGAAATCACAGATAAACACCCATGTGTCCAGATACCCTCTACAGACAGAGACGCCTACTTTTGCTTGGGCATTTTTTGTTCTTAAAATGTGTGTGAGAAAAGAGAGTTCTTTTGTATTCCCTTAATAAAATGACATTTATGGGTTATATTTATGGGCTTTAGTAATTATTACTTGTAAGGTCCTTTGAGACCCACTAATAATAGATTCTGTAGAAAAGCAAATAAAAGCCCCTATAATTTGAATCAGGCATGCTTTTGCTTGCTCCCTGAGTTTATGGTATTACAATTAATCAGTATTTGCATAATACTTTAATATACTCGGGCTTAATAAGCATCTAATTGGTTATTATTTTATTAGCTTTTATTACAACGCATAAGTAGTAATCCTATATCCTTGTCTATAATTTTCTTACATAGGAGCGGGATATCTTCGAGGATTCCCACAATGAGAGTGAGTCTCGCTTTATAGAAACAGGTCAGTGATGAGCAACATTTGCCCTTTAATTCCAGGCAAGCCCTCTTTGGTCTGTCTGAAGAGTGCCATGCTAATTGTTGATGCTAATTTTTGCTCTCCTCCAAGCAGGTTAATGAAATGAAAGGAAGTGGCTGTCCTTTTATGATGACTTCTGTGAAGCTATTAAAGCTGATTTCCTACTCCCTCACCAAGCCTCCTGCAGGGATCCCCTGCTCCTACCAAGATGTCTCAATGCCACCCCTCCCAACATATGAGAAAAATGTCTCTGGGATGTGAACATCTGCACGTGACATCATCAACACACCACCACCAAGTCACACTTACAAAGAAAAGGTTGCAGATTTCTTGCATTCTCCTAATGACTGGTTTAAATGTAAATAAGTCAGCTAATAGCATCACAAGATCCAAGAGGAGAAGAAACCAAAGGTGATATCCAAACGCATCTAGACATTAGATTAAACTTGTCTGGACCTACATAGGAGTATCAGCAGTAATCAACTGAAGACAAACGCATAGTTAGTATCTGTGACATTGAGCCCCAATCCTCCTATCTCTAAAATACAGATAAAGAGGAACCCCATCACAGGATTTTATGAGGAGTAAATGAAATACTACACATGTTAAAAAAGGTATCTGGAACAGCACCTGACCATTGGTTAACTGATACATTTCAAGTATTATTTAGCATTTCTTTGTGAAAACATTCAAGTAAGTGGATCAGCCCATAAGTGCCCCTAAAAGTAAACTGTGGAAAATAGCTCACTTTCCAGTTTTCAAGATTCCAGAGTATTGGACCTCCCTCATCTCCTTGCCCCCCAATTCAGTGTGATATCCTCCTTTCTGAAAGTGTCGTAAGCCACATTGCGTGGGCTTCCAGCACAAAGAGGCCAATGGGTCATAGGAAGCCAGGACGCAGAAGAAGGGCTTCTTCTCCATTTGGAATATCAACACTTTTGACACAGGCACAATTCTGCTAATCTTACTCGGTGGCTCCAGCCTGTGCTGAGCTTCATATTGCAACAATTTACTCCCTCAGTGCAAAACCAAAAAAGGCCTATTCCACAGCTCTAGCCACAAAGCTTAGCTTTGCTTTGGCTTTCTACCCAAAAGGCATTTGTGGGCCCTTCCAAAACCATTTCATACACAGAAACTGAAAATCTCAGTGCCCATTCAATTCCCTTCTCTCTGACTCCTGGGTTCAATCAGATCCTGTCACTTTTATTTCTACACTATTTTGAGTTTTATTTTTATTTTTTTATTTATGTATGTTTGTGTGAGTATATGCCATGTGTGTGCAGGTGCTCGCCGAGACCAGTAGAGGGCACCAGATCCCCTGGAGCTGCAGTTTAGACAGTTACCAGCTTCGTGGGTATGGGGGCTGGGATCTGAACTCAGGTCCTCTGAAGGGCATTGAGTGCTCTTAACTGCTGAGCCATCTCTCCAGCCCCTGTACACTATTTCTTGAACCCACCCCCTTTTTCCCACTTCAACCCCCATATCATCTATCAAGCCTTTATTAAATCTCAACCTCATAAGAATCTCTTAATTGGCTCTGGGCAAGAAGCTCCTTAGCTCTCTGCTCTAAAACATAGACAAAACTATGCAGAGCAGAAGAGGGGAATTCTGGAATGGAGACACAGATCCCTAAAGACTGGAGACACTTCGTTTATGGAGTAGCAGCAGATTCTAAGAAGGGCTAGAGTCTAAGATGATGGGACAGGAGAGGTAAAGACAATAGGGCTGCTGGGACCCACCCGTTCATGCTACACTGAGGAGAAGAGTTTCCCGGCATTGAGACTGTCGGAACATCTTTTTAAAGGTGGAAGGGACAGACCTCTTTAGTTACAAAGGTCATAGATCTCCGGGTCCTGGTCCTCCAGTGACATGGAGCTGTGGTCACACCATGTCACTTCCTGTGTGTGTGTGACATCCCTCAATAGCTCCCTGCTGCCTGTAACTTCCCAGTCGGCCACTGAAGGGACCCAATGCACCTGTCTTACATCGTAGTGCTTCCACGCGCTTCAACTTTGCCCAGCGCAAGCTACCTATTCCTTACCTATTCCTTTCTCCCTGTAAGAGTTCCATCGTTCATCTTCACACTCTTCAAGCCCACAGGCCGATGCCAGCCCCATTCGGACCCTTTTCAGATCTGGCCAGTTGGAGACAATCTCACCACCTTTAGCATTCTGCCACTTTTGCTACAACTCTGTAAATATGGCTTATCGCTCCTCCAAGGGCACACTGTATTTGTACACGCAACACATACTTGGTGAAATGGATGGGAGAACAGCTGAGTAAATATTCAAGACTAAAGAAAATCACAATGCATAATAATAATAATGAAACCCATGATATAGTCCCAGGAAGGAAGGTCTGGGGCTTGATTACTTATTATTAAAGGTATGCCTCCATGAAGCCCAAGGCATATTTGTTTACAGAAATCTGAATCTTACAGGTTAATTCCTTTTAAGCTTTTACATAAGTTTTGCCCATGAAAATATTTGAAATGATTAACAATCACTTCTTGATTTGTTTGATTTGATCAGTCTAAAAAGATGGAAACATGTAACAATCTGGTTGAAATTTATATGAAGTCTCAAGAATCTGAATTTGTGTGTTTTTTCATTCTAGAACAGTGGTTCTCAATCCATGGGTTACAAGCCCTTTGGGGGTTAAAAGACACAGGAGTTGCCTAAGACCATCAGAAAACACAGATATTTACATTACAATTCATAACAGCAGCAAAATTATAGTTATAAAGTAGCAATGAAAATAATTTTATGATTGGGGGCCACCACAACATAACATGTATTAAAGGGGCACATCATTAGGAAAGTTAAGAACCACTGGTCTAGAAGGTTCTTTGAAAGATAGTACCCACAGCCACAATGATTCACTCAT